GCAGTTCCAAGCACCGGGTGGGTAGTTGTTTTCTACATTTAGCCCTGCTTCGAGCAAGCAGGGCTAAATGTAGAGCGTGGAAGTCGCCACTTGTTTTCTACAAGTGATCCCTCCTGGCAATGTCGCAGAGATCACTTGTATGCAGCCTGCAGGTCTGCCATTCTTCATGCGGGGGGGGTTTAGGCAGGTAGGGGGGCGCATTGGGGGCAGCAGAGAGAGTAAATCCGGCCCTGGATATAATCCCATTGAAATCAACCGCACATGATCGTACGGTCCTGGGACGCATGTCCCGGGATCGCCCAAGTCTACACTTGGCCTCAAATGATTTGAGGATCCACAGCTGAGTGATACACAAATAAGATACATTGCTGTTAATAAGGTATTTGAATGCATTTTTGAGATTTAACTCCTGAGTTTAGTCTTGTTAAAAACAAAAAAAATACAACATGCAGTACTTTATTTTAAACTTAACACAGTACAACTGCACCGCACTGAGGTGAGCCCATAGAACTTAACCACTTGCTTTCTGGGGCCAATTTCTTACTATTTGCGCACACACGATAAAATCTGATTTTGGGAGGGGGGGCATCTAGAAAAAAGCTTCAGACCCCCAAACGATAATATATTTTCTGAACGCAGAGGCTCTGTAGAATAATAAAAATGCTGGTTGCAATGTTTTATGTATTTGCACAAATGTTTATCAAACTAGTATTTTTAGGATCAAATACACAAATAAAATTTAGTGCACAGAAACAATATAATACCCAATTTTGTTAATAAAATATAATGTATAAGACGAGGTCACACCGGGTAAATGGATACCAAACATGTCAAGCCTTAAAATTGCGTTTGCCCGGGAAACCGCAAAAAACGACAATACCCAAATTTTCACATAGGCGAGCAGTAAAAACTTTTAAAACGTCATCAGTTTAGTGCTGACAGTGATTGATGGCCCTAGAATTATTGCTCTCACTCCAACGTTCGCGACTATATGTAACGTGTGGTGCAATTTTCATTTTGATGCGTGTTTTGAGTTGTATGTGCGTACACGTGGGGGACTTTAAAACATTATTTATTTTTTTGCATTTTTTTTTTTGTTTACATGCTTTTTATTTTTTTTTTACACTCAACTTTATTGCTATCGCATAGGGGGCTAACAAGTCCCATATGTAATAGCAATTATAATGTGACAAGTCCTCTTTATGGAGACATCAGGGGTCTTTCAGATCCCTAATGTCACCTTGGGACCCCAAAGAAGCTGATGAAGCAGAGATCTGCTTCACCAGCTTCTTCTCACTCTGAGAGCCTGAGAATGCGCCCAGTGACACCGGAAGTGGTGTAATACACATCACTTCTGGGTCCAGTGATCAGGGGCTAGAAGCCTGCTGATCTCCCTCCGATTTATAAGGGGAGACCCGCTGTGCCGCTCCTGGGCTCGCACTGAGGACAGCGAACCCCGGGGTAGCCGGCGGAGGAGGAGAGGGCAGCACATTCTGCTGTACCGTACAAGCGAACCGGCGGCAGTAGACGCTGGATTGCTTGTATCTGAACATCAATCGCCTGCTGTTTAAAACGTTTTGGTATAACTACTTCAGGACAGGATGTTTTTTGACTGTGGGCGTCCTGAAGTAGTTAATGAAATGTCACTTCTGACATTTCAATAAAGTTTTATAACTAGAAAAAAGAAAAGAAACCGTGCCATACAGCTCGATCTAGCTCATTGGTACTGCATGGGAACATGCACACCAGCAGCCGTGCGGTTGAACTTGGCTGCTGATGTGAACAAGCCCTAAGAGAAGGGCCACAGCCTGTTAATATAAAGGCCTAATGTATGTGGACAGATGGTCATGAGCGTGCATGTTGCATACTTTCTCAACCAGGAAGTTTGCCTCCATCTTCTGACCTCTGCCATGCTAACGCTCCTGATGCCATGGTACATGGAGTGTGATGTGAAAACACATCATGGACCCAAATATGAAGGGTGCTCAAAATATAAAGGAGGGGCTTTTTTGTTACTGTTGGGAGACCACTGACATTTCCCTTTTGAAAAAGAAATTGAGGACACATCCTCAATCTCTTTTTCTGCAGCCTCTGTTCTGAATGAATGGAAAGCACTCAGTACAGAGGCTTCCCATTCATTCACAAACTGGTGATAGTAAATATTTACTATCATTCAGTTATGAATGGGTAGAAGCCTCTGTACTGAGTGCTTCTAGCCATTCAGAAACTCATGAATGAACAGGAAGTGATGTAAGCACTTCCTGTTCATTCATAACTTGGGACACATAATACTATGTGTCCCCAGTTGTTTACAAACTTTGGAGTGATCAGCTGATCGTTCCAGAGTTTGTTCTGCACACAGAGGATCGGTAAATATCAGATATTTACCAATCCTCCGCTCTGCCACTCAGAGCCGCTGTCATCTTGAAACTGACAGGATGACAGCTGCTCCACTCTCCTCCCCGCTGGGCCATCCTAACAGCTGAGGTTCCTCTTTCCTCCTCTGCTCGGCCATCCTGATTAAAGCGGCTGCCATGTACTCCTAGTCCCTTCACTCTGCTACTCCCTGTGTAATTTCCTGTAGACTTCTATAGGCATCTACAAGGTCATCTACAATGCCTGTGTAGTGCAGTTGTCTGATTAGATCTACATTGGATGGGTTATTAAGGTAGCCCTTTGCACTGTAAAGGCGATGGTAAGATTTGGTTGTAATGTATACGGTCTGCTTTAGGCCAATGCTGACCCGGTACACTGGCAATGTAGTACTCGGGTAGGCTGGATGTAGACATGAATGCGTCTTTTTCCCAGCTGGAAAAGTACAGCGATCAGTCACCGATGTGCAAAGTTAATGTCTGAACACGGCCCTTGGACCCACTTCACGCTTGTGTGCTTTCACTTGCAGGAAAGAACATTAACAGTAAATTCCAATGCTGATAACGAATCTGTACACATCTTTGTGCTGATATCGTATTATTGTTGGGGGACAGAAAAACACACTTTTTAGGATGCATCTTTTGACATGCTGTAGGTGTCTGACATCCAAAGAATAGCATCCTTGGAGGTTTTTGTCAAACTGTGGAAGACTTTGTCAGGTCTGATCACTGTACCAGTATAAATCTAAGGTTAGGATTAAATGGCTTTATTATGCCGTGGTTGATATTCGTGTACCTAAACTCTCCACATTTATGTGTAATAATTAGCCTTTTATAGCATGACTTTGTTTATTGAGGATCAAACATCAAAACCCGGCCTGAGTCATCAGATATTTTATACTGATTGTATTTGGCAAACCTGCAAGTGAACAATTACTTAGTAAGCAAATTAACATACCATGTTCTAATTATTTAATGTCTCGGTGTACAGCCACCTACTGTAGGGCTTGTGCATTCTGTGCTTGTGTGTTATTATTAGACAGGTTTAATAAAGCGCCAACAGTTTGCGCAGCGCTTTACAATATAAGGAAGACATTACAATACAATTCAAGACAAGATGGTAAGGAGGGCCCTGCCCCCGAGGGGTTAAGTGCCATTTAGCACAGGCAGGATTTAAAAAAGTGATCTTTTAGTTCTGGGTGTATGGTGTTTGCTTGAATCCTCCACCAGCTTTATTTTGTCTGCAACTCTGATGAAATGGTCTCTGCACTTCTCATCTCTCCCCATTTTCTATAGCTTCACTCTGCCTGGTGTTCAGCTTTAACAAAATCTCCAACTTGCAGACAGCTAAACACATGATTATTACATATATGTGGATAGGTTTTTAAGAACAAAAAAATGTCTCAGCCAATCTTGTGATCCAGGAACTCCTGCCATACAACATAAACACATCCTACACTCCCTGAGACCACTCTGAAAATTACACAGCAGTTAATCAATGCAGCCTGGTCTATGACCTGTCCCAGCCTATAATGGCTCAATGAAGGGGCAGTATCACACCAGTGAGATCATCTCTCTCTTCTCTCCTCCTCGGTGTTAGGCAGCACTGTTCAAGGCAGTAGCCTTTCAGTACTGCCATTTCTTTTTCTAGTCTGTGCCTTTTTTTTTTTTTTTTTTTATGGGATTCATTACAAGTAGTCACTGGTTGCATATCCACCCAATAAACCTTACTGCAGGCAGACTGCCCATTACTTTAGCTGGCACCATGCCACTCCATTCCTCTGCCCAAACCATAGATCTAAACTTTTGTACAAGCTCCCCATTCACAACTTTTGGTAGGGTTATTGACCTGCTCTTCTCTGATGTGACCATGTTTGGGCCGGGAAATTGTCAAGAGCATTGCACCCTGGACTGAAGGATAGAGGGCCACGTGCTTCCCCATAGCCAGAAACATTGGAGTAGAGTGGCAGAAGAGAGAGACAGCGAAGGTGAGTATCAGTGGGTGGTGGGATGGTGTAAGAAGAGAACCTGTCTCTTTGACCTGAATAGGCACAGAGTGACAGATTCCCTTTTGAAGACCCTTTCAGTGTTGAAGCATATCATTGCAGGGCTTGCAGTTATTTTAAGTAAACTGTTAGCAGATATTCATGCAGATTAAGGCCAAACCTTTTCCCTTTTAAAGCTACAGTCAACAGTGGCATCATAAAAATCTGTATTCAGCTGCAGCTGAAAGTGCTTTAAAGCAGCGGTCACCAAATGGTGGTCTCTGAGAAAATGTTGGTGGTCCCCGGGCACTCTATCAGCACTGCCACTCCTGCAGACACACCCGCACCTATGTGTATGTATGTATGTATGTATACTGTATGTATATATAGATGTGTGTGTGTGTGTGTGTGTGTGTGTGTGTGTGTGTGTATATATGTGTGTGTGTATATATATATACGTTTGAGATACTTGCTGTACATGATTGTCTGCAGGCTAGCGTGAGAGGAAGCCTCTGTGAACTAGGCCTGCCTCAGCAACAGTCATCTCATGGCCTCTTTGCTTTTGTATGTAATTACAAATAATATTTGTTATGTTTACTTGCACTGTTATACTTTATTTTGATCTGCTTCTCTTTATTCTTAGGAAGTGGAAAAGCAAACTTCACACTGGAGTCTTTACTTAAACCTGAGTGGATTGATCGTTGGCCTGTTCTCAGTGACTCTCCTGGGTCCATGGAGCGACCATGTGGGACGTCGCCCAATACTCATCCTTCCCTTCATTGGACTGACCTTGCAAGTTGGCGTATACCTGTTGGTTATGTACCTAGACCTGCATGTTGGCTATTTATTAATTGGACGCATTCTTGGTGGCCTCACTGGTGACTTCAACACCATACTAGCTGGCTGTTTTGCCTACATAGCAGACATCACAGATCGTGATTCGCGCACATTCCGAGTTGCTGTATTGGAGGCATGTCTAGGTATCGCTGGAATGGTGGCCAGTATCATTGGTGGGTACTGGCGAAATAGCCAAGGCTACATTTACCCATTCTGGCTTGCATTGGCTGTTAATATCTTCACAGCTTTCTATGTTTACTTCTGTGTCAGGGAGTCAGTAAAAGACAAGAAGCCATCAAGATTGATTACTCCCAAACACTATAAGACCGTCTATCAGCTCTTCGCTTTGCCTGGAGAAAATAAAAGACGAAACAAGCTTTGGCTCTACGGTTTGGCTCTCCTATTGGTCGTAACGGTTCACATGGGAGCCAAGGACCTGATGGTGATTTATGAGCTCAGCTTTCCTCTCTGCTGGGACTCTTTCTTGATTGGCTATGGATCAGCAGCGGAGCACCTGACGTATCTCAGTAGCCTGGCCGGACTGCGCCTGTTCCAGCTGTTCTTAGCAGACGGCTGGGTGGCAGAGTTGGGATTCTTATCCAATATCACGGGCCTGGTAGTCTTCTCTGTGGCCTCTACCACTCCAATTATGTTTACAGGTGAGATAGTATGCCATGAAAACTTCAGGTTTACTGTAAATACATTTTCTTTAAGTATGAATACAATGTGGTAAGGGTAATTAGCCATATACACTATGAAAGGGTTTGTTTGCTATACTTATCCTTGGAAAGCTTTATATAACTTGATGAGCCAGCTTTGCAACCGATTGTGCTCACATACAGCATTTTTGGCCCTTTTTAAGTTGCATCTTTCTTATTTAGGGTATTGGATCAGGGTACTTTGTATCCTGTGTAAATATCCCACAATTAAATAGCAGATTTGACAATATTTGTTAAAGTGAACCTGTGACGGCAGAATTGTACGACCTGTAGTTACTAACATGGCTTCATCTTCATTTTGGCTTTACTACCTAATCAGTCGCTGGCCTGGAACAAGCATACAATTAAATATGTCCAGTGAGTCTCTAGTAAGTGAAACCAGGATCATTAGTCAGCCCTGGAGCCTGTACCTTTAACGAGAGTTCTGCCATATTTGTATCCTCAGAGGTTCACTTTAAAAGCATGTACCTGCTGTGAATGTGTTTTACAGGGCAGTCTTGAGGAAAAAGGGTGTGGGAAAACAACCCCGATGCCAACCTTTCCCTACTCATAAACAGGGTTTCACTTCAAAGCTGCCAATGGTGTAAGCTTTCAGCTAATACTAATTATCAGCATTGATATTCAGTGTGCCAGCTTTGAATATTACGAATCTTGATGGTTATTGCACATAATGAGGACCACACTAACAGACCAGCATATGCTCAGAAGCCCAGCTGTAAGCACACCTTAAAGCGTATGTAAACCAAAAAAAAAGACTTAGGGTACGTTCACACCAGATGCAGTGCGTTCCGGCCCGATTCTGGCCAGAACACATTGGATCGCATTGCGGCCGGCTCGCTATTTTGTGGGGCAGGAGGGGGCGTGGCGGGCCATTGAAGTGAATGGCACCGTAGCCACGCCCTTCGGTCGCAATGCGATCATCCACATGGGATCGCAAGCCACATTGTGCCTGCCGTCCGGTCCAGTGCGGTGCGATCAAAATGCTGCAAACACTATTTTGATCACACCACAGGCACAATGTGCCTTGCGATCCCGTGCAGACGATCGCATTGCGGCCGGCTACACTGCTATTCACTTCAACGGCCCGTCACGCCCCCTCCTGCCCCACATAATAGTGAGCCGGCCGCAATGTGATGCAGTGCGTTCTGGCCAGAATGTGAGCTAGCCCTTAAAGTGACACTAAACTCAGGAGTTAAATCTTAAGTAAAATGCATTTAAGTACCTTAACTATTAACAAAATCGAATCCTCTCTGATTTTGTGCTGACACTGTCCATTCTTCTGAAGGATGATTACTTTTGTTCTCCGGGTGGGTGGGTGCTGTAGAGTAGCCACTGCTCCAAGATCACTCCTGTGATGGACTACAATCTCATGTTTAGATTACTAATTTGTATTGAGATTGTAGTCCATCACAGGAGCGAGCTTGGAGTGGTGGCTACTTTACAACACACACAGGGACCATGGGGAACAGAAATAGCCACCCTCCAGAAGGAAGGACCGTGTCAGAACCAATTCAGAGATAATTTGAGGATCTACAGCTGAGTGATACACACAATACATTTTTGTTAATAGTTGAGGTCCTTTAGTGCATTTTTTTTAGATTTAACTCCTGAGTTTAGTGTCACTTTAATTGTGTATCGTTTATTAAATCCGTATTGGGAGGACTGTGCTGCAAGTGCTAGTATCTAGTTTTGTTTATGTAATGAGGAGAAATGACAAGCTGCTAGTTGTATTTTATGATTGCTCACTGTCATTAAGCATACACACAGCTCACACATTGCATAACTGTGCTGAATGTGGTTTTCCTGTGCTATTCTATGTAATGTTTTGTCTACTAACGTTGCGGTAAAGCTTCATTTGCTCTAACCTGCCAAACCTGTTTTCTGTAGTTTACACAGGCTTTAATGGAGAGATGCATTCAGGGCTTGTGACTGCAGGCAGTATTTTGTCCAACTTTCAATACTCTCCTAGGGGCAACAGTGAAAGTCAACTGACCTGAAGCATCTGCATGAATATAACCTAACTGCAGAACTGAACTGCTTGACTTAATTATGATCTGGCCAGGCAGCTTAGGGTGCTTGCAAATCAATCCTGTTGTGAATTTGGAGTCCTCCTGGATCCTAGACCTAGGTTGTACATGGGGCCTCCACTTCTGCTCAAGTTGAGCTTAAGCGCACCCCACCCCATCTTGAATGAGAATCATTCAACTGTTAAATGGCAGAGCCTTCACTGAAGCTCTGGAATATGACTTGGCATGGAACTTGGCACCAAGATGTTGGAGCCTAATCTCGACTATTGTACAAAATGTGACCCCCTTCTTACAGCCTAGGCCTAGAATGCATGTGTCTGAGTGGCAGAGTAGCAGCGAGTATAAACTCTTCACTACTATGCTAATGTACCAATATTCCGCAAACCTGCGTGAAATAAAAATGGAACAAAAATGGTCTGGGAACTCCATTACTGTACATACTTCAGGATTGTCTGACGGTTAATTGACAAGACCATCTAAATTGTACGTAAGATTCAATCTCCTGTATACCTAGTAAGATTAACAAATTAAGTGAAGAGTACATTTTTTTATTTTGTCTCGTAGGTTACGGGTTACGTTTCTTTTCAATGGCGACTACTCCAGTAATCCGTTCTAAGTTGTCGAAACTGGTGGAAGAAGGTGAACAAGGTAATGCTACCTGGGGAAAACCATCTATTGACGTAAATACAGTAAACATTGACCTGATAGCAGAGCCTTGGTCTCTGGCATTGTTTAACCAGCACGGTAAAAGCTAATCAGTTTACATTAAAACGTATGCGTTGACCTGAAGTCTCCAGAAAATCCAAAGGTCTCTGCATTCCTGACAATCTTTTCTAGCAGTTTTATTTCCAGCATGTGTTTCTTGTAAATCACAGCTGAATAAGGAACTGCGTTTGTGGTATTCAGGTCGGATATGGGCATGTAATGTTGGCAGTTATGTAATAGCTGGCTCTGTAATGTGATTGCAGAATAGTGTTAGTGTATTTTGTGGTTCTCAAAAGCCAATAGCGCATTGTGTTCCTTCTAGATTACTATCGGCTATGCAGGCTGCCCTTGAATGGATTTGTGGTATATTAAAAACATGCTGTAGGCGATAAGGCATTCTTTGCACATCTGACCACACACTTCTGTCCACACAAATATCTGTTATGCAGCAGACATCCTACTATATTTTATTCTTCATAATATGAAAGTAAGTGTGTGCCCAAGCAAACAAGCACACGTCAACTTCTGGTACATTTGAGGTGGACGGACTAATGTGACTTTCACTAACTAAATTGATAATGTGTGTGGTGGTTGCTATGGGACACCTGTGTTTTTGTGTTGTGATTTAACAGACCATTATGTGTCATTATGAGCCAGGTTTACCATTTATAAAAATGCAGTCTTCATTGCTATACTTTACAGTATCAGGTTTGTCAGAAAAGCTAGGATTTAGGGAGACTCGCTTTGCCTATTCAAGGTTTCAGGTTCTATTGTAAGAACAACCTCCACCCTCTGGTAATCTTCCCTCATGCTCCCTCCTCTGTCAGCTGTGGACCTGACCCTGTGTAAGCTCTGTGTCTGGTGGTGTCTGAGCTTACATAAGATTAACGTTTCTTTCCTCCTTCCTCCTCCACACTGTTTAGTCCTGCCAATTGGCCTGAATGGGCAAAGTGACAGATCTTCCTATACTTGTTAGTGGAGTTTTCTTTCTTGTCCTTTGAGGGTCCTAGGAAGTCCTTTTATCTTTCAGGTTGTACTGTCGCCTACAGGAGGATTGGACACTGGCAAACAAACATTTGTAGGCCAGCCCAGGATAACCCCTCACTACCTGCATGCCTTAGTTTTTATATAACGTCCTAGGAGAATGGACCTCTTTTCTAAAGCTGTTTGTACGCTAAGACTAACTTTTTTTTAATTTAAATTTTTTTTTCTTGCACCCTATTAATTTTCATCCACTGCTGGAGCTTCCTCTCTTCAAATCCAGCTTTCCGGTGTGGTTTTTCCTGAGCCTGGCTTTTAGAGTACCACATCCTTGCCACACTGGACTGGACTTGCGGAGATAGTATGGAAGTGACCTATGGGAACTAAGCTCCGTGTAGGGCACTTTTATTACTCCATTCTGGTCAAATGTAGCTGCGGATTGCTCTCCCATTCAAAGCTGTTGGCATTGCTTCAGAGCTCTCTTAAGACTAGCTTAGTGTGTAGGCTGGCCACGCTGAACATTAGCACGTGTCACTTCGGTACATTCCTGCTGCCCACCTACAGTGCCTTTGGTCGCCCAACTCTCACCTGCTAGCAGCTGTCCAGATTTTCATGAGTATGTGAGTCCTTTCCTCTTACCTTGAGCACATACTGTATGTTTCCTCACCACAACAAAGTCACAACCTGTTTGATTTTAGACACGAGGGGACAGTTCCTGCTTCACTGGGTACCCTCACATTCTAATAACAGTTCTGGGGTTACTTGCAGCATTCCTTCTGACAGTGCCAACGTCTGCAGCCTGGAATCATGTTATCTTCTGATCTTAGAGTCTGTTCTGTCCCAGGAGGCCTCCTTGGCTCCATTGGGTTTGGCTGGACTCTGACTCCTCCCTCGGCTGAGGTCTTTGTTAAAGGAGAACTATGAGATGAGTGATTTCCACCAATGAGACTGTCACAGGTCGGCTCAGTAGATCGGGAGGTGAGCGAACACATACCAGGATCGCTCACCTCTCGATCCTGTCACGGCTCTCTGCCGTGACAGGGGGGAGGGGCTGGATTCCCCTCTCCCTGCTCCGATCTGCCAGCGCTGACTGGCGGAACGGACGGGGAGGGGGCCGGTACAGCTGGCTCTGCCTCTAGATAGGCAGAGCCAGCTGTCACTCACACAGCTGGGCGGATCCCGTCATCTACGTCGGGATCCGCTCCGGCTGCGGCGTCTCAGTATACCGTGAGCTGTAGCTCGCGGTATACTGGGCTTAGGGTAACGGGAGGACGCTAGTTTGTGTCCTCCCGTTACCCTAAGGAGAACTATGGGGAAAAGCCCTGACCCCATAGTTCTCCTTTTAAGATTTTATGACTAGATTACCCAGTTATTTGCTGACTCGAATAGCAGAGGCCCTTTCCTGCAGATTCTAGATCTGATTTGTCTTAACTATTGGCCACGGAGACCCTGTCTGGTTCTGAGATGCTCCAGTCCTTGACTGATGATCTTGTCCCTGAGGAGTTGCAGTCAACTGCCATTACTCCAAAACTAAAGGAGACCATTTTGGCTCTTAATTGATCATTTAGAACTCCTAAGGCAGTGAAGACCTTTCCTGTGCATCCACTTTTCCAACTATTTTTTTATGGAGATTGGAAACATCCTCACAAGCTTTTTGCTCCTCATAAATATTTGTATCCATTTTATGCAAAAGTGCTCTATCTCCACTGTGTCCCACCTTAACAGGATTCTTATTGTTCTGGTAGAGGATATGCCTGTCTTTAAGGACCCAACCAATAAGTGTAACCCTTTCTAGAACTTTTTTCACGCTGACTGCCACTTTCCCTTCCAGTTCTAGCTGTGACCAAATCCATTAACCCGTTTGCTGACACTGTATGGATAATGTGGGATACAGTGGCACCAGGCCCTTCAATTAGACTCCCGTTTGCTCTAGCAGCCAGAAGTTTGCTTACATGTGTAAAGCTGACTGTCGTCTTTACACTGGAAGTGATTTGGGCTTCTGTAAAGCCAGACTACCCCCGCTATGTATCCCAGGCTCTGCTGCCCCTTCTGTGGTCCTGGGAGGACGATTGCTCTTGTGTGCCCAGACCAGCATAACGGGTGTAGGCAAGTGGGGCAGAGTGCTGAATGAAGTCCAAAGCGACACACTAGCTTCAAGTAATGTTTTCAGGAATGACTTGGTTGATTTGCATCCATAATAGGTTCTATTGCTGAGTGTTTTTTAATTTTTTTATTTTAACTATCAAAGGTAATCTAACCCTTTTAGGTTTATGGCTTGTGTCTCAGTGAGTACTGTTTTTGGATGTAATATTGAGCTAAAATAAGCCCAAATCTATTAGAATATGCGGACTAGACTGTCCAGAGCAGGGGTAGCCAAACTCCGGTCCTCCAGCTGTGGTGAAACTACAAATCCCATGATGCATCTCTCTCTGGGAGTCGTGGCTGTGAGAATCTTGCAATGCCTCATGAGATTTGTAGTTCCACCACAGCTGGAGGGCCGGAGTTTGGCTACCCCCTGGTCCAAAGCTTTGTGTTCTGGTGGGTTAAAGAGCATTTGGGTGAGCTGATTCCACTGATTATGCAAGGTGTTTTTTTTTCCCCCAGTTTATTTACATTGTTTTAATTTGAGTTAGATCATATGATGTCCTTTTGTTTGTAACAATTTGCAAGTATAACAGAAGGAAGTTGTGCTATTTATGTCTCTATAATCCTCAGGTACTTTATTCTCCTTTGTGGCCTGTGTAGAGGTCATCTCCTTCATACTCGCCACCACCATCTTCAACTCCTTGTATCCTGCTACACTGTATTTCATGAAAGGCTTCCCCTTCCTGTTTGGAGCAATGGTCCTCCTCATCCCAGTTGGAATAATTGGGTAAGTGCAACTCATTAGCAATAATAAGTAGGGAAACTTGTCTGAGCGATGAGTTTACAGGAAGCGTGAAATGTTTATGAGAGCATTAGTTTAGTCATCGGTGTAATAATACGTCTGGTGATCTGATTCAGCGTAAGAAAATCAGCACACATTCTTAACTGTTTAATCCTTTGTTATTTTAGATGTGTACCTAATGTGCCACCCTTTTCCCACACACACACACACTTTAAGGCACCATGAGTTTGAGTGTTAGCAGCTTGACAAATATTTCTATGTATGTGTTCACATATTCAGGATGATTTAAAAGGCTGAAAACATATTGTTGTAGCCTGTAGCAATCAAGACTGCTCTGAACTTACTGTTGTCTGGTTGCTGTTGAGGACTGCATATTATTTATTGGCCTACGCTCCGGAAATCGTAATGTTCCTTCAGAAATTAAATCCCTTTTAGTCATTTTAACCACTTCAGGACCACAGATGTTTCCCTTACAACTGTAATAGATTTAAATGGTCATTGCTGTAAAAATATAAATACAAGCGCCCTGTAAAAGAAATATAACCCTTACCTTTCTGGCAGGCAGTGAGTCAAACCTTGCCCTAAACCTAATAACCTTGCCCTAATAAACCTTACCCTCTCTGATCTCTGACACTTTGGGGTGTGTCGGATACTTGGTCCTCCCCACTATATACTGTGGTTCCCCCTGCCAGCTGCTACATCAGTCCTGTGTCCTAATGTATTGCCTTCACTGGATAAAGGTGAAGGAAGTCTCATATGGAAGGGATGAGGGCAGGTAGAAGGAAGGTTGATGATCTGTAGCGGGAATGCTCTTCTGTGGTAATCGTGGAATTGACACGTTTTCAGTGCAATCAGTATTCATATTTATTGATAAGGGGTTTCAGAAGTGACAGGTTCTTATGAAGTCATTGGTTAGGCTGGGTATTCACAAGTAGAATTTAGGTTCTAAAAATTCATTTTTGGAACGTTCGTTTAGTTTATGCGAATAGTTAAAGGAGAACAATGAGGCGAGTGAATCACTCAGCCTCATAGTTCTAGCCGACCTGTGACAATGAGACTGTCACAGGTCGGCTCAATAGATCGGGAAGTGAGCGAACACATACCGTTGCTCGCTCACTTCTCGATCCTTCCCCTGCAGAGAGCCATGACTGTCACTCATGGCTCCCTTCAGAGATTTCCCCGCTCCCATCCTCCAGCGCTGACTGGCGGAACGGACGGGGGAGGGTACAGCTGGCTCTGCCTCTAGATAGGCAGAGCCAGCTGTCACTCACGCAGCTGGGTGGATCCAGACAGTAATGTCAGGATCCGTTCCGGCTGCGGCGTCTCAGTATATCGAGAGCTGTAGCTTGCGGTATACTGAGCTTTGGGTGACGGGAGGACGCTAGTTTGTGTTCTCCCGTTACCCTTAGAACTATGGGGAAAAGCCCTAACCCCATAGTTCTCCTTTTAATGGCGTTAAATTGACGATCGATTTCAAAGGAGCATGATGGAAAAATTTTTGTCTTTTTATCACATGAACATTCGTACAAAAATCTACTGGTCTATGACCAGCTGTACGGTGCTTTGGGATACAGTCTTTATGCATTTGATTTAATTTTCTTCTTAATTTTTTTCTTTTTAATTCGTCTTTTAGGTCTCTGGAAATGTTTGGCCAGAACCCAGTATATAGCCAGTTTGCTGAGATCTCCTAAAACCATTCCTCAGATGAGTGCACTACTCTTCAACAAAGAAACTTGTGACCGATTTGTGGCTTCATCGTAGGCCAAGCACTTCAAATCAGATGTTTACAAACATGAAAAATGTAAAAATCTCAGATGTTCAGTGTCTTTCCTACCTGCGGCTATTTTACCATGCAGCACTTGACTGAATGAGGTGGATAGGATGTCCAGATGCACAGTGATGGGGTTGGTCAAGCTATCCATGCATGGAGTTCTTCAGCTTGTATACTTTCCCTCTTCCCTCCAGCCATGTGTGGTTAGGTGTCTGCTTTCCTTGGTACAGCCATGTATTAGTGTCTTGTCACGTTAAAGGATGCACTAACTTAGGCATATGTTATGGCAAGATTTAGTAAGGGATGTAGCATTGTGTAACGTAACTAAAGAACATGTGTACAATGTTTCATTTTACTTTACAGTGTGTTTAATTTTAATGTAAAAAAAAAAGTATACAACATACAAACCTATAACCCATAATCAAGCAGAACTCCACACCTGTCTGTCTGTCGGTCTCCAAAGTAGGTATAGGTCTTGCAGCGGAGATGTGAAACACCGAGTTCTGTCGCAATATTGACAATAAAATTCAGATGCTTTGACTTATTTGCCCTGCAAGACCCATGCCTCTATATCTACTTTGGATTTGTATGGCTGTTTGTGAATGAGCATCTGGGCATTTACCCTACAAATAGAGTGCGCTTGCTACCCCTAGGACTGTGTATGTGTGTTTGTTTGTATGTATGTGTGTATATATTGTAATCTTCAGGTTGGATCAATAGCTGTATCTTTTAAAATAAACAGTCTTTATTTTATCCAAAATGGTCAAACAAAAAAGGCTTCTTCTCAGCAAAATGACAAATAAACAGTACTTCTTTCCAGTACAACTTAATAATGGGCTCACCACCTCAATAAGCTTATCCTGGCTTGCTCTAAGAGGTTCCAGCACAGACACCCAGCCGTAGTGTCTCAGTAGCCAGCAGTCCACAGCCTAGCACAGATGTGTCCTGCTCCAACACACCTCACGGGCCCACTGCCAACTGGCTTCCACTGCTCTTCAAACACTCCCAGCAGGTGGGTTAACCCTTTACTGGCCAGAATGCCTCTGGTCAGGATTGGAGGCTCTTTCCAACCCAATATCTCTCCAAGCCTCTGGATTCCAAGACCCGCTTCAGGACTAGCAATCCTATGAACCGATTTGGACCATAATAAAAAAAATTGTTGTGTAAAAGGGTGAACCTAGCTGCTGCTATTGTGTTGAGGCCCAAAGGTTACATGCCTGATGACCACTGGTCACAGCCCACACCTGGGTAGCATCTGTCACATCCCTGCCTTGTAAGTGCCTTGTATATGTTTAATTTAATGCTGCAGTAGAGGTCTAATGAGCTTGGAAGGCTTCCAGTCTCGCGTGGCTATAATTCTGCAGCGGATTGTAGGAAGTTGGTATGAAGATGTATTTAAGGGACATTAATGCTAATAAAGTTGTATTAGCAATACTTAAATGCTTTTGGTGTTTTTGAATGGCCAAGAGATCCTCTTTGATGCAAAACTGTGCTCACAAAATTCATATACAACTGACACGGCGCATACCTTCTTGCATGTCATTATAGATCCTTCAGACCACCCTAGGAGCCCTGTATACCAAACTCTGCAGTCAGAGGCTAGCGCCTAAGGTTGCCATCTCTGGCCTGTGGCTTCTTACCTTCCACACTCCTTTGTTAATGGG